TAGGAGAGTCAGTGAGTGCCCGTGAAGGACAAGGAACTGGAAATTAAAGCCGAATTTCATAATTCCTCAATGTGCCCAGAGCAGTGTTTCAGAACATTACAGTCACTGAATTAAATAAACTTTCTCAGTTCCAAGTACAGTACTTGCTTTACAATTATTTTAACTCATGCGTTAGGTATTTTACGGGCATGTACTTGTGATTTTATACAATAAAGAAATATTTTTCCAAACCATGTATTGAACAAAATTGTCCTAAGCTATTTTATTAGAAAGTTGAAACTGTGTGTTTCTGAGTCTAGCTTCATTTTTACATTTGAAGTATCTGTTTCCTTCCTTTCACAGGGTCCACGTGTTTCCCCGTGTCTGGTCTGTAAGATCATTCAAATCACTGGGTTTGCTAAGATTTACCAACAGAATCAAAGGGGTGTCTTCACCTCCCTGCTGTAAAGGATACTCTGGGGTCCAGAAATGCTGTAGTCCATGTAAACTAAGCACTCTCCTAATACGTGGCTTGGTATCAGTGATTTATTTGTAGCCTTTTCCCGGAAGGCAAGGGACAATCTAGAACTCCCCTGATTGTCTCACTGTGTTTGTCCTAGGGAGTTTAATGCACTAGTTATCATTAGTCTGAGCCTAGGTCTGAAAATGTCTCTACTTGTGGTTTAAAACCTCCCTTGTCCTTTACAAAATCTGATTTCCTCTCATCGTTTTACAATTCAAAGGGAGCACTGCGGGAGCCCACTCACACCTGTTTGTCCTTCATCCCCCACTGAGACGACCTCAGAAAAAAATGTGAAACCCACGCAGTGGTCTTCTTTCTTGTCTCCTCCCTTTTCCATTAATATTTCATCTCCGAGGCCTGACGGGCAGGAACCTTGTTCAAGGAACAGTGTGATTTTGATTAAATGTGTCTCCAGTGCTCGACTCACTTCAGAGCCCAGCCCTCCTGAAGATGCGGAAGGTAACTGGAGGGAGCTCAGAGCCCAACAAGATTCCAGACCAGGAACGCCTTAGGGTACAAGAGTCATTTGTCGTGGACTCACAGGCCTGGGGGTTTTTGTTCCCATCCATTTTTAAAAAATAACTGGTTTTTAGAATGCAAGCATGGAGGAGTGGGAAGACTGCTAAATGAAGGAAACCGCACCCTTCATTCTTCCCCTGACCTCCTCCCGCCCCCTTCCTTCCATCTGCTCTTTGCAATCTGGCGTTGGGATGTGAGGCCCTGGAAGATCACACCAGCTTCCAACAGAATAGGCCCCATTTTACACCAAGTCGCTGCCTGGCAGGTGGCAACGAGGTCACCTTTGAAGAGCGGGCAAGGTGAACAACTTGCAAATAACGTGCCTGCGGAAGGGCTCTGTGGTGACTTGCGCCAGCGGTTCAGGGTCTGGAGGCTGGGTCTTTGAAGCGCACCCTGTGGAGGCTGCAGGGATTTTCACGCTATGAAGGCACATGTCCCACAATACCGCTGGGCCGCCATCTGATTTGTGCCTTATATTCTAGGAGCAATGCTTTTCATGGCTTTTGTATGGCTCTGAAAGGAGTGGCATCAGTCAGAGTGTGCGTCTGTATAAATTATGCATCTGTGAGTTGCTGCTCACGTGGCATGAAGAAGAGCCCTGCCTTTGTGGGGGAAGAGGAGGAAGGAGGTGGGGGAGGGGCCAAGGGAAGGCTCGGGATCCTGAGGTCTCTGTGAGCACTAAGACCTGAAATAAGAATTCACATGCAGGTAGGGGGCGGGGGAAGAGCAAGAAGGCTGTCCTGAGCCCAGGCATTTTCCTTAGCCCTTCTCTGCCTCCTCTCTGCCCCCGTTCATCCTGTCTGCCTAGCTGTCCTGCCCACCCCCACCCCTGCCCTGTACCTGCAGCCTTTCACTGTGGCTGCCTGGGCATGTCTTAGATTCTAGTGTTGGTGGGAAAAGGTGTCAGACAGCAAGGCAGGTGCTCTGGTGGGTGTCAGTGCTTAATCCCCAGGGCATGGTGATCTCATGCTGACACCCTATCTGGAGGCAGAATGAGGACTTAAATCTGGTGGAGACTGTCATTAAAAAGATGCATAGAATCAAATGAAGCTTAAAAAAAATTTGCTGTGGAGAAGGAAACGAAAGGTGATGTTTGGCCACAACTCTGTCATCCCAGACATGCATCAGAAATCCTACAACAGTGTAAGCAACAGACGATATGTCACCGTAACTACCTCCAAGACTTGTATGGAATATGACAGAAAAGGGTGCGAATTATCCAAGATGAGTGATCCTCCTGGTAGGGAACGGTCTGCACCTTGTACAGGGAAAGGCACCAAGATGGGTGCTGTTACCCAAAGATAGTCATCAGAGGAGGGGACGCAGCCCACCCAAGCACCCAGTTATTCTGTCCCGTGAGATTCAAAGTCCTTTGTATCCTGAACCACAAAGTGGCTTTTATTAACGTCCAAGAAGTCATGGTGAACCTTGTATATGACAATGCTAGCTCTGCTCCTGGGTTACAAACGTAAAGAAAGGGAAAACCAAGAGTTAAGCTTTGAAAAAAAAAAAATAGTATGGTTAGTAAAGCAGAAGACTTGAAAAGGAGCAAAGGGAAGGATTGCTTACCAGCCGAAGCAGTTTTGCTAAGGACAAATACTAAACTAACTCAATTGCTTTTGTTGATCAGTGGCTGCATCAGTAAGTGAAGGAAAGCAGAGGGTGGGGGGGTTCCCAGGTACAGACACGATGTGTATGCTGCACCTGGATTCAGCCAGTCCTGAGAGCCACCAGTCAGCTGGGGGGACAATACGGAGGAAGAGTTGTTTGCCTCTGACAGTAAATCCTTCTTCCGCATCCTTTGATTAATGGAGCTGTATCCCCGGATGGTAAAACTACCTGGGAGTGTGCCCCAGGCCCTCACACTTGTTTGGTCCTGTTCAGAATCTATGTCAGTGACTAGCGGACACTCCATGTTTTGGGCCTATTTCCAGGAGAGAAGGAAGCATACCGTGTCTGATGGTTTTAATGCTTACGATTATCACATACAAACTCAGATCTCCCTCCCCCAATGCATTAAACATCTTGGTTCTCCCTGACTGCCTGGGGTCTGGGGTTTGTTCCCTTCTCCGTGTGGGGGTCCGCTTATCTGGCAACTGAAAGGCCCCCTCCCGTTCCTTGTGTAGAAATCAACCCTTGGTACCCTTCAGCTTGCCGTCTAGAGGTGTTCCATCCAACAAGACCAAGGGCTTTCCCGGATTCCCTGGAGAACCAGGTCCGTGGAGACGGGGAAGCTGAGCGGCACAGAGCTGTACCCTGGCTTCAGCTGCCACGGCGGCCCTCCTGCCCTGCCCTGCCCGCCAGTGTGGACCACCCTCCCCTGTTGTTCCTTCCCCTCTGTCAACTGGCTACCTGCTCCTGCGGCTGCTCTCTGGTCACCACACAGGTTGGCCTGTCCCCACCCCTGTCCTCCAGGATTGGCTCCGTCTGGTGGCTTCTATTTTTATTTCTCAACAACTTTTCTTGGCTCTCCCAGTGGCTTTTTGAGTCACCATGGAGGGTGCCTCCTTCTAGGACCTGACCTTCAGCTGGTGAGCTCTTGCTCTCCTTCAGCAGAAGGGAGAGGGCCCTTCTTTTCCTTCTTGCTAAAGGACAGACCAGGCCAGGCTGAATTTTCTGGTTAATGTATTTATACATTCTGAGATATACATATGTATGTATAGATCTATAGATGTATATCTCAGAGAGAGAGAGAGAGAGAGAGAGAGAGAGAGAGATGCACACACACTAAGTGCTAGGGGGTTAATGTCATTACTATTATTGTTAATATTGCCACTACTATTGCTATTAATAGCATTTTATCTTCTTGAGAGTGAGAAGACGTTATGCTCATCCACAGTCATACACCAAACGCAATCATGATGAATATGTGGTTATTCTTCTAACGTTACATAAGAGAACACTTATTTCTTACTGTGACAACATATGTATCCTGAACCACAAACTGGCTTTTATTAACATCCAAGAAGTCATGGTGAACCTTGTATACGACAATGCTAGCTCTGCTCCTGGGTTACAAACGTAAAGAAAGGGAAAACCAAGACTTAAGCTTTGAAAAAAAAAATAGTATGGTTAGTAAAGCAGAAGACTGTAAATAGTTACCTGTTGGTGAAACATGATTAAAAATGAGAGGACACAGCTTTTTCTCTAAAATAACACTATGTGTTTCAATATGTAGTATGGTCTTAATACTTTCAAACCTTGGACACCCTTAAAATTTTTATTAGATAGCTAAAAAAATTAAGTATAGATAGTTGATAATAGGAAAGGGGAAAAAAGAAAACAATCAAAAAAATAATATCTGGGAAACCTTGTCTGTTGTTGATGATTTAAAATTGTTCTCCAACCACGAGAGAATGGCAAGTATGTGGGAGGATGCAACTTGTAAATAGTGTAATTCAGCCATTCGTGTGTGCATGTATGTGTGTGTGTGTGTGTGTGTGAGAGAGAGAGAGAGAGAGAGTGCTTGTACCTGAAAGCATCATGTATGCTATAAATATGTAGAAATTTTTATTGGTCAGTTAAAAAAATACTTAAAAGTGGCCTCTCCATTTAGCACAGCTGAGCATTTCCTAAGCTCTATTCTCCTCCCAGCTCTCTAGAACCTTCGACTATAAAAGACTGGGTTTTAAGAGTAACCTCTGGTTCTTTTGTTGTTGTTGTTGCTATTTATTTATTTATTTCTTCCAGGAACAATATAAGGGTCTCCAATTAGTTGCAGGTGCAAATATTATGCATGCAATTAATTGTCTTCAAATGGTTAATTATGGGCAGAATTGGCTAATTTGGGGTGCAATTAACTACTTGCCACTTACTCTGAGAATGCCCGTAGACAATAGTGTCTGCGATTAATTTACAAGAGCCATTACAGAGAGAACCTTGTACTATAAATCCAAGAATGGAGTGGGAGAGTTCTTTAGAAGCATGATTTCACTCTGGGTTAATTGCATTGACTCTTCCCTTTGGCTTTTCTATGCAGGTTGACTGTAAATGGAGTTTCTTCCAGTTGCTTCCTTGGTGTGTGCAGATGTGCTGGTGATGAACGTGCGGAGAGCCTGGAGAAGTCTGGGCGTGCTCCCCAAGCACAGGGCCCTCTGTTGCTGGTCTGCAGGGCCAGGTCCAGTTCTTGCCTACTTGTTTTATGTGTCTGTTGACTTTCTTCTGTGGATTTCCGGATACAGCAGTGCACGAGTGCTTGCAGAAATGAGCTTCTCCAAATCATTCTCAAGAAGCTCAACATCTTTGTTAAATGGTCAACTTTTAAAGTCATCTTATTAGCAATAATCAATACACAGGTCCCACAAGAAACCACAGATATAATTTTAAAATTTATAGTTCTTTATAAAGACCCTTTATGGACCTAAGAACTGTGATTAAACTACCTTATTTAATCTTCCAAATAATCCTATGGATTAGGCATTCTTCTCACCCATATTTTGCTTATAAACTCGAAAAAAAGTTTGGCAACTTGCCAGTCAATGGTGAAGCTGGGATCAAACCCTGTTTGCACGTCTGTCAGCCCTGAGTCTTGGTAGATATGCTGTATGTGGGCCTATGGACCAGGAAGGGCATTGGGAGCCCTTGCTATCCAACTTCTTCATCTGGACAGATGGACTTATGGTGGCGCACACAGCTCACTGAGGCCATGCCAAGCTTAGAAACCAGATTTCCTGCTGCCCAATACAATGCTCTAACCACAGTGCACTACCAAAGGAAGGCTCTGTGAGGCAGTTCTGTCCGTTTCTATCTATTCTTAATAAAAAGGGGTTTTCCTGTGGAATTTGCAACACTTGAGGGTTTGGGTGCAGGGCACCCGTTGAAGAGGCCTTCCGCTGCACGGCCTCTGTGGACCTTGGTGGCTTCCCATCAGAAGGCTGCAGCTGTGGTGACTGCAGGCTGCCGCCAGGTTCCCGAGAGCCTGTTCTTCACATCTTGCTTCCTGAGCACTGGCAAAGGGTGAGTAATCAAAGGTGACAAGCTTTCTCCTCTGGCCCCACCACTGGTACAAGGCCACCACAGGCACAATGATGCACACTGGCAGGTGCTGGTAGCCTGGGTTGCAGGTCTAGGCCTTGTGGGGCGTCACTGTGTTAGGGAGGGAGGAAGGAATGAAGGGAGGGGAGAGAGGAAAGAAGGAAGGGAGGGAGGGAGGAAGGGGAGGGAGGAAGGGAGGCAGGGGAGGGAGGAAGGGAGGAAGTTAGCTTCCACTGTCAGAGAATTAAGACAAAAAGCTTTCCCTCGGACACAAGGTGAATCACCTGCAGTCCCTTGTAGCTGAGGTCCCAGCCTCTCCTCCTGTCAGGACTCCTCTCTGGCCCCTAGACATGGTAGAGGAAGGGCAAGCATGATTGACAGGTGCCGCAGTCTGGCTGGGCACAAATCACCAAGCCGCCACAAAGCACTTGTATCTTCAAACAGGAAACTTTATTGCCTGAACTCCAACAGCACCCCACGCACACTCCCCAGGAACTCTCCCGAATGCCACCCACGCGGCTCTTCTCTGGCACACCAACCGGAACCCACCGGGAACCCCATGAGAACTCAACGGGAACTCCAAAGTAGCAGCCCCCCCCCCCCCAGGCGGACAGCAGGGCTCTATATACAATTGAATCAATCCAGCATCATCTTAATGGCTCGCCTCTCAACCATTACTTCTGGCAAAATGCCAGGGGCCATTCCAACTCGGCAGTGGCTCTCAACAAACAGGCGGCCGACTTGGAGTTCTAGGTTTGCTGCACTCTGGTGAGGCTTCGAGAAGCTTGCCGACCTTCAAGCCGAACGTACAGCCTGTGAAGTGCTATGCTTTACAGGTTCTCTCCTGGTGGGGAAGTGGACTCTGAGAGATGACCAAGCCCTCCTGTCCCGTTTCTCGGGGATGCTGAGCTACCTTTTAGAACAGAAGGCAGAGAGGCAAAGCAGGTGAGGACAGAGCCTGTCAGTGCACACGCCTCTGCTGTGGTCAGGTCCTGTGAGCTGTTAGACCCCTTCAGGGGAGAGTCCCCTCCATTTACATCAGGGGGAAGAACCCAGGAGGGACCAGCCACTGGTCAAAGCCACATTCAGTGTCACCTGGGAAGAGACGGAAAGCAGTGGCCTCACACTGGAAGGCAAGGGAGTGAAAGCTGTTGGTTTCCTGTGTGACAAGCCCTGATCCTTGGGGTGTCCAAACACGGCCTTGAGTGTGGCGGGGTTCTCACAATTTGGGGTATGACTGGTAGACCAAAGACCTTTTCCTCCTATAAGTGTGATATAATTTTACTCCCTAGAAGGTGTGGCAGGGGGAACTTTTTTCAGTCCAAAATATCTGTCAAGAACAATTTTAGAGGAGAACAAGTTTCCTTAGGGATGAGGACTTCAGAGGTCTTCGTCCATAGATGGCCAACACCACAGCTGTGCTGGAGGGGGGCCGAGGCTTGGCCAAAGGGCGCAGCTGAGGACATGACAACCAGAAGGCAGAGAGAGACTAAGCTGGCTCTCCAGGGACAAATTATACCCCAAATGCACGCCCCCAGGGAACCACCTTCTCTAGCCACACCCTACGGGCCGGGCCTACAGTCACAAGCCAAGTTAATCCATTCAAGTGGATTTATGCACTGCTTGGGTCAGTCCTCTCATAACCCAGTGCTTTCACCTCCAAACTTTTTTGCATTGTCTCACACTTGAGCTTTCCGGGGACCCCTCACATCTGAACTCTAGCAGGAACATCTTACATTTATATCAGATTTTGACTGATCCTTTAACAAACACTTGGGAATAATGATCCATGGCCATGGAAGGCGATCAGCAGAATCCTGGGCCTCTAAGAACTGCTGTGATCCTCTCAGCCCAACATGACTGACCTGCTCAAAATTCAGGGAGTGGACTTGCAGCTGACCTCTTCTTCCTTTCTTAGGACGTGACCACACTCTCCAGTGTCTGACTGCTGATTCTCACTGCCAATGGTGTGAGGGTGTTGGATGCTCTGCCACCATCTGCAAACTCTCAGTCACGGCACTGTCACGACAGTGACCTCTGGCTTTGAACCTGAATGCCTCCACCAGACCAACTCCTCCTGGGGCAGCCTTGCCACCCCAGGATTCCACAGATACTTGTCTCCATGCAAGTGTGAATTCCACGGTATGCGTCCATTGCAGTGTCGGTCAACAAGGGTCATTCCTGGGTGTGGAAGATATAAAAGATGCCAGAAGGCGAAGAAATTGGTTTTTAAAAAGAAACAAGAAAAAAAATATTGATTCCTGGAAGAAAAGACTTGTCAAGGCAATTTCTTGCAAGAGCAAACCCTTCATTAGAAATCAAGTTAGAGCTAATTTTGAAGGAGCGGATAGATGTCTCCTGGCATTTCCTATTGTCGCATCATATATGGCACATATAGATAAGAGCGATTGTTTTCAGTCCCATTTGTATTAAAAGAAAGCTAACCAACTGAGGAAAATCAAATGTAATTAGTTTTACCTAAATTGTAGGTTTTCAGAGCAATTAATAAAACTGAATGTTGAAAGCTGCTTGTTAAGCAAATCAAAGATCAAGGAATATATTTTCTTTATTAAATGTCACTCCTATGTAAACCAACCTACACAAATCATTTTGAAATACAGCACATGCGAAACTGGAATATTTCGCTGCAGTACTACTTAGGCAATCCACAGACTGTCTCGATGCCAACCACAATGTGAAGTGGCTACTCCGTGTCCACTTCTGACCGCTGAACAGGTAGGAGGCACAGCGGCCGACTCTGGGTCCACTCAGCTTTTCCCCGTCCCCACGGACAGGAACAAATGCTTCACCACTGGAGCCTGGCTCTCGCTGTCCATAAAACTAGTCTTGATTTGGACCCATGGAGCAGGAGGAATTCCTGTGACGTCACATGTAAGGCATTTAGTGCACTGCTATTCCCAGGGCCTAAGCCCAGTAGATGCTGGGGACCATCACTGCATTCATGCCATTTTGGTTGGGCTGATAGGATCAAGTGGAAATAACAGGGATGGTGGACTCATGCCAACCTGGGCCTGGGCAGTTGGTGCCCTGTACTCATGCAGTCCCCCCAAAGTTCTGATGACTGCTGTGGCATAAACATAGCTTCAGGATTATTTGGGTCACTTTTTATAGAACAGTTTTAGTCACACTACATTTTTGAGAGCTAGTATGTCTTTCTGCTACACTGTGAACATGAATCTGCGCACACAGCCTTGGGAGCAGGAAGGAAGCAACTCTAAGCCCCTTGTCTGGCTTGAGTCATGGTTTTGTCTATAAAATGGTGGCAGAAGGGCAGGGCTTGGCCTTTAGTAATGAGAAACTCTGTAGAGAAGGGTCCTTGGAGTGGAGGCTCTCTACCCAGGACGTCTCGCTGGGGCCCTCAAAGAACTTCACAGAAATATTTCTATCACCAAAAAGTCATGTGATTTGAATTTCCATCATGGCTTTCCAGAATGTTCTCTTTGCATCACCATAAGACCAGGGGATATATAAAAATGCTAAGGCAACATCCTTAGCAACATCCACAATTCCTTTCCCGTGTGCATTTATTTTCCTCAACCATTGGGAGCATCTAACTATATTCTACCAACGTTCCATCACTGCAAGGAAAACAGTAACTATGCCCCATGAGCAGAGAAAAGCCTGAGAACACACAGCCTTCTCCATCGGAAGCGTGGGTCAAGACGAAAATGTCCCACTTTCCCCGCAATGTAAGTTTGGGTAGCAATTACTGTAAAGACCACTTGAGCATCTCTTTAATAATAACTGTATAGACCCCCAGGACTGTTTCCCACTGTATTTTTATAGGCAGCAAAGACTCCAGGAAACAGAGAGATTTAATCTGCACCATTTGTTTCCTGAGGTTCCGACGGGTTTCCAGGATCCCACTGATCTAGGGGCCCAGAGAGGGAATGACTGGTGAGCCTCTGTTGGGAAACCAGGCACCTCCAGGCGAATGGAGGGTTAGGGTTGACACCCTCGTTGGACAGGACAAGGACAGCTCTCCAGAGAGGGGCAGAGTTTCCTTGGAATCTCCCGAAGGAGAATGAACACATCTTATTTGAAGTAGGAGACATACAGCCATATAATGATGGCTTTCTTCCAAATCAGATGCCACACCAGGCAGATAGAATGGGAAGTGTCTATCCTGTAGATAGTCTGGTCCCTCAAGGGCCTTGAGTTTTCTGTGAGTCCACCTGAAAAATGAGGGAGGTGACTTCTTCATCAGACCTTTGGGGAGACTGCACGAATACAGGGCACCAACTGCCCAGGCCCAGGTTGGTGTGAGTCCACCATCCCTGTGTCTTTCACTTGGAGTGTGGAGGAAGAGCTGCTCAGATCAGAACGGTGGTCTACAGAGCCTAAATCAGGCTTTCTATTTTTAAAATAAATAAACAAAAATAAGCATACAACCCCCCAAGCATGAAACCCCCAAATAAACTTGCAAACCTTAGTATGCACCTAAAGGACAGGGTGTTAACAAGATGTTAAACAGCACACAGAACAGCACACAGATGAATGAAGAGACCAGGAATAAGGAGCATATGGATGAAAGTTTGCTTAAAATACACATGGGCTTAGAGAAAAAAGAAGAAAAAACTTTCTGGCCAAAAAAAAAAAAAAATGTGCCTTGGGATTGTGCCAAGTTTAAAAACATTTGAAGCAATAATTTGAGTCTAGAAAAAGTACAGAAAGATTTCTCTCACCCTCCTGGATAAGCAAGGAAGAGAAACGTGGGCTGCAGATCAGGCGGCTCCCTGTGGACCACGGGGATGCTGAAGACGGCTGGCTTACCCCAGAAAGTGAGGCGCTCACCGTTCACATTCTTGTTGGGTGCACTGCTCCATGGCAGGGAGGAGTCACCTCTGCAAGCTGGCTCCTGGCTCTCCACCCTGAGGGCTTGCTGCTCTCTGCGCCTTGGAAGATTCCCAAGAGCACTGCTTCCCCATTTTGTCCCTCACTCCATTTCTCTTCCTCTCAAA